GGGCATTCTGTATCTCAGATTTCTATCCCTTCCATTCCTTATTTCATTCTTCAATAAGCTGTGGAGATGGCCTTTGCCAATTTTGTGACTCTCAGAGAAATGAAGCCTGGCCCTATAACARCCCTCTCATTCTTTGACCTGAGTGAGTAGGTCTCAGACTTCAGAAATTGATGCAGCTTCTTTTCAGCTTGCCATACAGAAGTGGGGGTAGAATCAGACAGAGTTTGTTGAAGCAGCTGAAGATGTGAAGAATTAAAATTTTACTCAGTKTTATAAAGTGCAGCATATATTGCAGACTATAAATTGTAATTGTCTATTTAACAAGAGCTACATTTTCCCCCRAAGCATTCAGAAACACAAAGCAAGTGGTCTTAGTTGATTAAACAAATACATATGCAGGCTGCCCTATAAAAAAAGAGGAGCCGCAASCCACAATAATTTGTCAGAATAATTTTAAAGTGAGATCTCTGAGGTTATGTTTGTGCTGTGTGTTGATGTACTAAATTTGTTAGCGTGTTTTAAAGACTTTTAATTCCCACACTAAATTCACCTTTTCATGAAAATTCACTTGCTTTATGTCTATCTCGTGTTATGACCTAATAGCCAACATAATCTKCTATTCAGAAACTAGAGTGGTTTTCAGTTATAAACACACAAAAGGTATTTTAAATCAAAAATGTCTATCCACATTCCACTCATATCTATGAGGGTCAAAAAAGATTTTCCTTTWCTTTTGTTCTGGGAAAAAATCCTCCTCAGGCTAAGATCTTGTATGTCAAATCTCATCTCAGAGTGAATTATAAACTGCTGATAATAAGACTTTATATTAATGGAAGCATGGTTATAGCCCTCACTATAATATGGTATCTCTGGTTTCAATTATGCTTTGCACAATGCAATATATCTTTAGGAGTATCTGATGTAATTAATCAGATAGTGCTGTAATGCTGAATAGAATAAGGAGAAAAAACAGGCATTTGTCATTTTACAGACATRGAGAGGGATTTTATTAGTCTTTTAGTAGGAGCAGCTCTTTCCTGGTGCCAGCGAATTAGTGTGTGCTGGTGTATGGAAATTATTCTTCGAAATTCTATTTTTGTCCCTCAGCAGAGTTTAAAGTTGTTCTGGAATTACACAGAGAAGATATACATGATTAGCACAAAGTAAAATTGATTTAAAATAAATTACTACAGCAAATTTATTTTCACAGAGTTTCATTTTGACTCTGGCATTAAGGGTGGGGCTTTTTCCAACATAAAATGGGTTTTATCAATTAAGATTAAAGAGTCATAGAAATCAGAGATGGAAAAATTCTTGTCAGGTCTTTTCTATTGATGCAAGAACACTTCCTACAGTATATTTCTCTAACACATAGTCAAACTTCACTTTAAAGTGAAGGGGTTCCACTCTTTCCCTTAGCAGATTATTGCATGGTTACATAAACTTACATTTTTCCCAATACCAATTCTGATTTTTTCCAGGTTTTTCCCATACCAGTTTTGTTTATCAGTGTTTATATCCTTCTAAGGTTTCTGTATAAGCTTCTGTGTTTACTTCTTCCAGAGACAATGTTAAACAATTCGGTTTTATCCTTTCCTCCTAGAAGTACATTTTGCTGCTACTCTCCTCTGAAATTTCCCCAGTTTACAGGCACAATTTGGYTTCTGCCAGTGTAGAGCACCAATGCAGAGCTGTCATTGGAGTTGTACAAAGAGGTCTATCACACCCTTGTCTGCTTAAATTGATCTCTTGTTTAGTAGCATTTGTAACTGTACATGGATTGCTGTTCACTGCCTACCCTTACCCCTCATTTTTTTCAGAATTACACCAGCTAACTCTCTGCCACTGACTAATTGCATGGATCTTCAGTTTTTCATACAGTCCCTTTATTACTTACCCTTGCAGTTCCCCAGCATTTGGAGCTCTTCAGCTTGGAGAGCAGATGTGTGAGGAGTGGATAGGAAGCAATTATTCATATCTCCTATAAGATAAAAAACAGGAACATCMAATGAAATGTCAAAGGGATAAACAACATAATTTCCTTTGTCATGTCTCACATATTTAAATCGTGGAATTCACTACTGCAGCACATTTTAGATTTCAGAATAAGCTCCTCCCAAGGAAATTCTTAAACTACTAAAGAYTTAGGGAAGATATTGTAGCAGAAACATCATTTTATACTTTCCCTTCTCGATATCATTCCTGAACATCATAGCATGGTCAGATACAAAATACTAAATGAGGCAAACCATAGATAATATCCTGTGCAGGTATTTTTTATTTGCATTCTGTTAATATTAATAGTCAAGTGAATTTCAAACTGAYCTTTGGAAAAGACCCAGCAACTTCCAGTGTAATTTTTAGGTTGCTAAAATAATTCTCAGTTTTGAAGGCACATGAAGGGAGCAGCATTTTTGAAAAGAAATATGTTGAGAACCTCATCTGACACAAGGAAATTTCCCCCCTTACTCCAATCAGTTGCCTTTTGATAGTTTAATGAGTAGAATGAGCTAGCTGGTTGATTTCTGAAAGCTTTAGGGATGTGTGGAAGACTCCATTTTCCTCAGCCAAAAGAGAAGTAACAAATAGTGTAAGAAAAAAAGACTATCTGCAGTCMCAATTAATGTAATTATTTTCATGGCTGTTATATATCACACAGAAACTAGAACAATTGAATAAAAAGTCAACTTTCCAATTGAGACTGAAGGGAAACTTTTTCATCCTTTTAAGTTTCCTGATGACTTTAGGCTTCTGAATATGTTCCCTCTCTCAAACATTGACACTGCAGTTATTTCAGGACAATGATGTAGCTGTCAGGAGGACCTGATCATGTACCTAGTGGTGTCAGTGACAATATTGCAAATAACTTTCAGTGGTTCAGGATCACATTCATAACCAGCATCSTCTGGTTTTCAAAACTTGCAGACCTTTGCTGCTCCCGAAGTAGTTACACACATTTTACGTCTTAGGAGAATGTGCTCGGGCACCACTTGTGCTGTGTTTCATTGTATGCAGCCGTGAAAAAAAGTGAAGCACRGGCACAGAGCAGATGTTCTTTACTATATAAGTTTAAAATAAATATTTTTGTGATATATTTGTGTTAAGCCCTAGAAAAATCCGCACTGAGATAAACCTGTGGTACATGACCTGTTTGGTTATAACTGGTGTGAACTACAGCAGAATTGCATTACTTGCCTCTCTCTGACAGTAGCACAACTGAATATTTAGAAGTCTGTTAGATATGTATTTTCACTGTYGTAACAGTGATAAGAGTTGTCTGGGTGCAAAACCTAATAATCCCACTGTGCCCGGATTATTTTCACTGCAATCAAGCATAATTAAAGCAAAATACAAATGTTTGATTTTACAGATCATAGTACCTAGAAAACTGCACATTTCTTCCTAAATTTGCTGTATTTTCACTTAGGATTCAATGGAATAATGTTTATTACTGAACTCTAGGTTAAAAATAGCTTTTTCAAGAATTTTTCAAAGCTGCTCCTATAAACTTCAGTATCTGTTGTACATGTTTCTTCTTTTGTAACCGCTGAGCCTTGTCAGTAGTAGATGTGGTCTAATTGTTGCTTAAAAGTAGATCATTCCTCATCACAAATGCGTAGATTCTCTTTAAATCAAGCCTTGATGATTAAAGATAGCTTCTCCAAAGCTTGTTTTGTTGGTTGTTTTAACTTAGACTGTTCTTTTATAGAGCCTCATAGCCCTTTAGGCATCAGAGTGTCAACAGTGTTACAGTAATATTCCTTGTATTATTGTGGATTGGAGCATTAAAATTTTACTRCAAAACCAGCCAACATGTCACAAAATGGAATAATCAAGGGCTCAGAGACCAAACATCTTCCGCTTTCTACAGCTGGAAGACTTGTAAAATCATTCCTTTTATTTCAGGAAAACAAAGCAGCTTACTAAAACCCGCAGGTTTGTTAAGCCAAATAATTCCCCTTGACTTAGTGAGCTTGACTCTTCTYCACTGAAAAAATTAAGTGCAGTGTGAAAAGGTTCCTTCAACATGATTTAAAGACATCATATCCTATCATAAAAATTAGTATTAAACTTCAGCAGCAGGCCTTTTTGGGTTTTTTGGGAGTACKTATTCCTTCTTTAACCCTCCTTCCTGAAGATGAATATATCTTTTGTTTCCTCTCTCAAGTTTTTGCATACTTTTTAGCTCCTGTAACCTAGCTTCTTCTTTCCACATCTCTTTAATCTATTGCAAGCCATTTAATTTCAAAYTTTAAAAGAAAAAACATATTTTTATCCCTTCTTTATAATATTTCTGCTTCTTCTTTATATAATTTGACTTTATAATTGGTTTCTTTTGGACTCTAAAAAATTCTGTGCTAAATTATTTGTGACATGTCTMAGCAATCACATTCTGTTGCATTTTATACAAGTGATTACTTCACAGTAAATCATTCTTGCTTTATATCAGATGCTTTGAATCAGATTTGTCATAAGTTTAAAACAAAGTCATTGCTTTCTCCATTCAGACTGTCATTGCAAACAAACAAGCGAAGCKGTGGCTTCGGCTTGATTTTGCTGTCATTTATTCCATTAAAATCAATGGAGTTGTACCAATGTAAGCTTGATGTAGGAAAGAATCAATTTCTGTAAACCTATAAAAATCRAAATCATAGATATGTATAGATAGCTGTGTAAAAATGTATAAATATGATGATAAATTTCAAATAYCCCAGAAAGTATAGAAATAGATATATTTTATACACCAACAGCTTCAATTGCATGCAAATAACATGCATATTATGCATCCCAGTGAAATGCAGTCTGGTTTATTTCAGAGCAAATATGATGATACTTGGCTAATAAACTATGCAAAGTCACACATTAATCTTAAATTATCAGGATAAAATTTATATCCTATTTACAGAATACCTAATATATACCTGATAGGAAAACAAGAATGTTATTTAGACTCATTAATATGATTTGAATAGTCCCCTTGTTAATAAAACCTCTTTTTTCTTTTTCTTTACTGCTTAATAGAGAAGAAAATCACGTTATTCGGACCTTGACTTTGAAGTAAGTTTTACTGAATTATTCCTGATTATTAGAAGTATTTTCCTAAAARTAAATGTGAAGTGTTCATTCTAGCAGATTTTAGCCTTCTGGCACAGTAGGTGTGATAGGGTGCACAATTGSTACTGTACAGAACATGATGAACAATTCATTAAAACTACTTTGGTGCAACTTGTTTGCAAAATATTCTGAGACCAAACTGTCATGTTGCAATATTAACCATCATGATTTCAGTTTTTAAATTCTTTGCCTCTTCATTTTCATCTGGGTTTGGTTTTTTTTGTTTTTATTTTTATTTTTTTGGCTGGCTATCTACTTACAGAAAAAAATGTGACATTTTTATAGGGCAGGCTACATCATTGCAGAAGTTTGCTTTGTTCAAGAGATTTCCAGAATTTCTTTTTCTTTAATACTACTTTACTGAAATACGAGTTTCACATCCAAGTAGTGATTATGAATGTGTCAAATTTTGAATGATGAAGTGCTGCAGGTGTCAAATTTATGGATCCCATGCTATATAAAAAATTAAGTTCATRTAAGGTTCTTTAGGTTGGGTAGCCACAATTTCCAACTTAGATCATACTGAGTGAGAAGGTTTAGTTGTGTTCATTAATGGTAATTTTGTTCTATCATCTCAGTCAATATGATTAGGTCTCCTAGAGAATTGTTTGAGGTTTGTTTCTCTGATTTCTACCAGAAGGAGTACAGCAGTTAGTTATCTAGGGGCTGTTCATAATTTGGGGTTTTCATATAGGTTATCTGTTCATGCATAGAAGTAGTTTGATATAATTCATTATGAGTGTCTCCAAAGAAGCTGAATATTTATATGGAACGTCCAGATCTTGGGCTAAAATTTAAAAGCCAATGATCAGCACATATCAACCATAACATCAAAAATACCCCTGTTGGCAATTACCCTAAATATGCTTTAGGATAAATGCATAGAAAGGAAGAAAAAAACCACATGAAATAACAAAATTCTAATGAGCAAGCAACTCTAAAATTAAATTCAAGAAATATGGTCAGAAATTTTATAAATGTAGTGATATAAAGAATTCTAAACTTTACTGGTTTTTTTAATTGAAAAGTAGAAATATCAGGCTGTTCACAAGGCGAGCACTCTCTGTGGCAACAGATCCTAWAACATTCTTCCTGTCACTCAAGAATATAATCCAACACTAAACAAACATCAACAAAGCAGTACRCATCCTGCTCTCTAGAAACAGGATTCCCATTATATATTTTCTCTTGATTCACATCATTTCACAGAATCACAAATGCTGTAGTTCACAGTTTGGAAGGGACCACAGTGGGTCATCTGGTCCAACTCCTTGCTCAAGCAGGGTCATCCCAGAGCAATGGCACAGGATTGTGTCCAGACACTTTTGAATATCTCCAGTGAGGGAGACTCCACAACCTCTTCAGGCAATCTGCTCCAGTGCAAGGCACCTGCACAACAAAGAAATTCTTCTTCATATTCAGATGGAACAAACTGTGCATCAGCTTCTGCCCATTGCCTCTTATCCTGTTGCTTGGCACCACTGAGGTCTGAAAACTTCCTCAACACCATCTTTTACTTACAGACAGTTATCTCAGTTTCCTGTTTGCAAAGCTGAACAGGCCCAACACCYTCAATCTTTCCTCACAAGAGAGATGTTCCAGTCCCTTAATCATCTTTGTTACCCTCTGCTTGACCTGCTTCAGGAACTCCATGTCTCACTTGTACTTAGAAGCCCAAAATCCCAAATGTGGCCACACCAGGGTTAAGTAGAGGGTCAGGATCACCTCTCTCAACCTGCTAGCAATGCTCTTCCTAACGCACCCTGGGACATCATTGCCCTTCCTGGACACCAGGACACTCTGCTGGTTCATGCACAGCTTGTTGTCCACCAGGACCTTCTCACCTTCTCACCAGATTTGCTTTCCAGCAGGTCAGCACCCAGCCTGTCCTGATGCAAGGGATTATTCTTCCCCATGTGCAGGACCCCACATTTGCCTCTGTTGGGTTCCAGACAGTTCTTCTCTGCCCACCTCTCCAGCCTGTCAAGGTCTTCCTAAAGGGCTGCACAGCCCCCTGGGGTGTCAGCCACTCCTCCCAGCTTTGTGTTGTTTATCTAAGATGTTTACATCTTTTTCTTAACTTCTTTGCAACATTGCTGTTCTGTGGCCTAATATTTTTAGAATTACTCTTAAAATGCAGGAAAGTATGTTTGCTTGTAAAAAGGAGTGGATGGGGCCAGTGGGAGTGACCACTGAGGAACTGAGAGCAGCAGCAATACTGTGCAAGTTACCACTTTGTTTTAGAAGTATCAATGCAGACCAATGCCATCTCACCTCCTAGCTTTATGATACTTCTGATTAAGTATGCGAGCTTTCCTGTATCCTTACACATAGCATGGCTGTCTAGCTAAGGCAAGATGAAATTAAAAAGCCAAAAAATGTTAAGATAATGTGGTCAAAATGCTGCTCTTTGGGTACCGCAAAGCAGYTTGGCTGCAAAATAGGACACAGTCGGGAGGTGAGATCAGCCAAAGTGATTGAAAACACTACTTATGTGTTTAACACTTCTTCTGCCTTGTCTGTGACCAGTGCCAGCTGGCACTCTCTGAGACAATGCCCTTCCCCATTTCTGAGGATACCAAATCACAGAATGACATGGATGTGGTTCTGRAGATAACAAATGTTAAGTATGCAGTGTGGACAAGGCTGGGACAAGTTTGGCTACCTGTGTCCTTTTCCTTTKAACACCCTCTCTGCAGTCTCTACACCCTCACCCTTCTACATGTGTTTCTATACACATACAAGACATACTCAGGCAATGTCTATCTTACTAAATTAGACATTTGAGGGAATATTCCTGGGTGCCAAAATGCCAGCTTTTATATGGATTAATTTTTAGAAAGAACTTATCTATTTTAGACTGGACCACCTTTGTTTCTTCAAGAAGTTCTTGAGTGTCATTAGGGACTCAGTTCAATCTGGGTACCATTTACAACAGAAATTTTTTTTAGACTTCTTACTTGGGAGACTAAGAAAATTTAACAGAATTTAATATTCATGGAGAACATTCCATGTTAGATGTTGCCAGAAAATAGTCTYGGGACATGTTCAACTTATTACTACAGAGTCATGGTTTCATACTTAAAAAAAAATAAAAAGAAGACGGCTCTTCTAGTGGCTTCAAATGGAACATCTGCCTTAATAGAAATTGTTTGAAGGAAAAACAATAAATATGCATAAAAATAAACATAAGAAAAGCAATTTTTCTCCAAGAGCCACGKAAGAAACTCAAAGCCAGCTGCATGTATTGTTCACATGTAATGTGAACACAGCCAGACTAAGACTACACAACACTACAAAATACTCTCTGTGCCTGCTCTCTCCAATACATGCATAAATACAGATGCWGTTTTAAGGGCCTTTGCAATGGATTATAAATAATGAAAGTCCTATGTTATAGAAAATTTGTGTTAAAGGGAGACAAAAAACGATGGCATCCAAAGTGTCAAGCACTTACCATAGTTCTCCAGCTGGTTAGGGAGGGGAGGGTCTCAAAACTGAGCATCTGTATCTTGTTTTCCCTTTTTAAATAGTTTACATTCTTAAATTATTCCTTCATGTAGAAAAGAAAAAAAATGGTGTAATAAACAGGGCTTAGTCTATCAGCAGGAAGTAATTCTGCTACATAATATGCTGTCCACAATTAGATTTTGCAAAATACTGACTAATCTAGCTGAACTTTGAAGTTTGCTAAATGAACAGTCAACATGAAACAGCTTTACAGCTCTTTTCTTGCTATTACCAAAGATAGGTCTGGACTCATTCATGCAATTTGCTGGCCAAAACATAAGTAAATTATTGGTCTGGACATTTTAGATATTTGCTGCCACAGGCTGTGCTAACCCCAACTAAGTGCCCTCCGACTCCTGTCATTTTTTCTCTAGGGTTGGACAGGTAGCTTTTTCATTAAGTCTCAGCACTAACAGTTAGCTGTCAGATCAAATAAAATTCATTCTAATTATGTTGAACAGAAATACAGATGCTGTAGAAATTCCCAGGAGGACTTTATAATAGGTGTATGCTGGCGATTACAAAAAYATTCAAGAGAGTTAAACATTACTSGTGACATGCATTTTAGGATTCAAGATCACAATTACCTTTAAATTCTATGAGACACTCCAGCCTTTGGATTCCTCCAGCCACCCCACTCTCTCATTTCTACAAGCCATTAATTGGATCTACTCTGTTAATAACATTTATGCCAAAAAAAATCAGAAAAGTGCCTTATTACCCTCATCCCCAGGATTCATGTCATCTCTGGCTCTGAGGGAGAACAAGGATATGCAGGAMAAGTGAGAATACCAGACTGCCTTTTCTTTTCCTCACATCAGGAGACTTTCACCAGCAATACTGCTAAATTGATCACTGTTTGCTGGAGCCGCATTCTTTCAGAATTTCATCTGCCATAGCTATTTATTATAATAACATTATAACTCACAAAAGTTTAAAATAATTTTCTTACTAACCTGAAGACATCTCTTGAAGGCAAAGGTAAAAAAAGTGTGCCTGGAGGGAAAAATTCTCTGCTTTTCCCAAGTTTGACAACTGATCATACCTATAGCATCTTGAAAACACAGCATGTTTCCATTAGAGGGCTGGGAAGGCATTCCCCCATCTGCCCTTTTAACTTAGCAGCTTGGTACAGTATTGGAGAGAACATTTTTACCTGTGTCAGTGTAGCAAATTAAGTGACCTTGTAGTGATTATGATGATGATGACGATGATGACGATATTGTTGTTTGTAAGACTGATCAATTCATAGAATCACTGAATTTCCAGGTTGAAAGGGGCCTTAAAGATCACCTTAAAGTTCCAAGCTCCAACTATTGGCAGGAACACCTTAGACTAGACCAGGCTGAGCCTCATCTAACCTGGCCTTTAACACTTCCAGGARTGGGGCACCCACAACTTCTCTGGGCAACCTGTTCCAGTGTTTCATCATTCTCATCATAAAAAACTTATTTCTATATCTAACCTAAACCTACCCTGTTTCAGCTTAAAGCTACCACCACTTGTCTTGTTCTTGTAAAAATTCCTTCTCCAGCTTTCTTGTAGGCCCYYTTTAGGTYCTGCAAGGCTGCTATAAGATTTCTCTGGATACTTCTCATCCCCAGRCTGAACAMCYCCAGCTCWTTCAGTCTGAGTKCGTAGGAGAGGTCCTCCAGTCCTCTGATCATCTTTGTCACCCTCCTCTGCCCTCAATGCAACAGGTCCATGTTGATCTTATGTTGGGAACCCCAAAGTTGAATACGGTACTTCAGGCTGGTGTTCCGAGTTATTCATGAGTACATTTGTCTTGAGTAAGAGTTCAGCTAAAATCCTACTGTAAATAAAAAAGTGAGCTGGGTACAATGTTATGTTTGRAGTCCTCCCCATCTTGGTTACAGCCATCCACACTCTGGATCCTTTGCTGTGAGTAGGTGCTCATCAGAGTGAGGTGTAGTCTCTTCAAACACACACTCCATCTAACTTGAATGGGGGTAGAAATGTGGAAGGGATGTTGATTCAGCTTGATCCCCTTGAGGGTGTGGGGCACAAGAGTTGTGGAACCTGCAGGAGACACCACGAGCAGATGTGTGCCTGGAGCCTGGTGGATGACTCAGGTGCTTCTGGTGGGGATGCAGCATCAATGGGCAACTTCACAGCTACATCAAAGAACAAAAGGCAGCACAAATTCATTTTCCATCCTTTTCAGATCCTGATGCTCCCACAGTCATCCTAGTATTAGTGGTCAAGATCTCCAGCTTTGTATTGTTAAAGCTTGTGTATTTCTAAGATTAATAAAGYGGTGTTGTCCACATTGCCCATTTAATAGAGAAAACAGATTAACCGCCTACAAATACTTTGTAGGTTGTTTTCTCATAAAAAAAGAAAGAGGTATCCAACAGAGCATATTTTCTTAAAAGGAGATAAGATGGTGCTTTCTAACAAGGAATTTAAAAGAAGTATAGAAATTGAGAGTTAAAGTTAGAAATTTAAGTTACTGCACCTTCAGTTCAGATTGTTCTTTATAAGCARTAGGGAGGGGGTGGGTGTCAGTGGGTAGGAATTATGGAATGGAAGCCAGGAAAACACAAAGTAACCAAAAGATCCATAGGTATATGTTCAKACCAGTCATGCTGCTATTAAGAATAAAATTTAAAGACTTTTTTCTGGCAGACTTCCCAGTGCAAGTGTTTTATTTCTCCTCCCACCTRCTTCTCCTCAGGAATAATGTAATGAACTGAGTAAGACATTTGCATTATTCATATTTGCTATTTAATGACATCTTGGGTACACAATTAAGGAAAGATACCAGAAAGTAGCATTCTCTATATTCCTAGCCTTCTACTAAAAAGTTTCCAAATGGAGATGCTTGTTTCATAGCCTTATGTATTTCCTGCTCTTTAGGACTAGTATTTGAACCCACCAAAACTGTTTTATTCTCATGACCATGTCTCCTCATTTCAGCCAATAATAATTTTTGAGGTAGAACCTTTCTTTTTAAAATTTTATGTGTATGAAAATTGCTGTATACTCCTGTCTACCATAGCAGCAATATCTTAAAAGAATCCCTAGGAAGTCACTTAAGGGAAACTCCCCTCRTAAATTTAGATCAGCTATCTCTAGTTAAATTACATTTTGCAAGGAGTTTATTACCAAATACTGAAAAGGTTTTCCCTTATTCACCCCACAACTCAAGTTAATAGGTCTTTAATTGCTCATGTCTCCTGTCTCTTTTGTGAAACACGTTGCCAATTCCTTTTCTCAGAAGTGAAACAACTTTTCAAGCTGCAGTCTGGCTATATTAAGGCTAATACAGTTATAACAACATAGCATTAGAAATACCTGGCTAAAAGAGCAGAAATCTCTAAAGGCATAATGCAAATAAAAGATCAAGTTAAAATTGGCACTGATAAAGGAATATTGAGAGTCAGCTATTGCCACCCGGTTTTAAAATGGTAAACCAGGCTTGGCAGGAGCRTTACTGAATGAAAAGAGTCACACTCAGGCACCACACGGGGCAGTTTGCAGGGTTTCACTCACAACTCTGGGGAAAATCAGGCTTGGCAATTATAGGACTTGCACAAAGACCTGTGTCCTGCACCTCTTCAGCATTCCTGGCTGCTCCGCTGGCTCTGGTTCAAGCAGTCACAAAAGCTTAAGAAAAGCAAAGCCRAGCCCATCCACTGTTGGACTGAGGTGAAGCATCCTTGGACCGTCCCATCCCCAGAGCACCCAGACCACAGAACCACAGGACTGRTCAAACAGTGAGCAGCCTTCAGCTTTGCTCCAGAGGCAGCTCTGAATCCATAAGCATTCCTTCTTCTGAGCATGAATTCCTTGGAAAATAACTCTGATGGGCATMGTTTACAATCTGGGCTTGAAAACAATCTTCAGTCTCCGAGCAGCTGCCCAGGCAGATACATGGCTGGGGCCTGTGAGAATTATGTGAGCCCTGAGAATTGTGGGGTCTCTTTGGGGTCTCCCCCTTTTGCACCACAGTGCCATATAATTTGTTTCTGTAGAAGAGCGCCCTCAGCATGGGCGAGAGGAAGGGTGGTTTCCAATTTCTTTGTCCATGAAATAAGAGAGCAAGTAAAATTGAAAATCTGTGCCTAGCTTTCTTAATTTCAACTGCATTTTATGATGATCTGAATGACAAGAAGATGTCTAATTAAAAAGACATAACATTTGGGGATTTTCCATTTTGAGCCAAGATTTCTGAGCTCAGCATTCTCATAAAAATTATTCCGACAGGGACCATTACAAACTGCTTTTGCTTTGCTATAGGAACTGAAATATAAGCATTCATGCCGAAAACTGAAAATCCAGCAAATATTCTTAGTGCAAGAGAAATATTCTTCTGAAAAATTGCCATTACTTTCAGGATACTTCCAAGATTGCATAAAAAACAGTGTTCCCTAATTTCAGCAACTCAGTAAACATGGRGTTAAAACAGTCTCTTATACACAGGAGGAACATTAAACTCAGCAGACAGAAGGGCAAGTGCAATTTGCTTCCATTGGTCAAGTCTATAGGGAAAAGATGGCCCTGCCAAATTAAATTTACTTTATTATGTTGGGAAAAGTAATGCTTCTCTTAAAAAAATACCCCAGATTCAATTAGAAATATAAGCAAGTATATTCCATTTTGCAGAAGGTCATGCATACAAGAAAGAGACATATGGAATTGTTTCAAGAGTTAAATCAGAAATTTCAGACTCTGGACAGATTTCGGGATGTACCAAAATCAGGCAGTATGGTAAGTGTCCTTCTATTATATGTAAAATATGGTGGATTCTAAACAACAGCAATGAAACAAGAGCCCTTTGACTGCAGTGCATTCCCCGAGAAGACCTCACCTTTGGGTACCTCAAAAAGGAGAACAAAAGCTATTTTCAGTAATCTAACCTATGGCAAGGCTCATTACGTTCACAATTAGACCATAACTAACTCACTAACATCATTACAGATGACAAGCAATTGACCTGTAGGGAACACATTTCAAATCTGGATGTGCCTACTGTGTCTAGGTGGCTTCATACAGAGAAAGCAGCTCACTGATAGAATTTGACCAATAGGGCTTTTCCTGTAGCTAGGCAAGGAGATAATAAATTARATACTACAAACGAGTCCAGATAGATTTACCTATACGTGAGATGGTCCAGAAAGCACCTGAGATCTGTGTAATGCCATGTCTTTTCCATAACAGGTTTATAAATATTTACCATGGGAAAAGCAAAAATTAAATCATCCCRAGTTGAGGCTGCTGTCATCATAATTCAAATTTATACACTCACATTCGTGCACACATGCATAACACCCTGACTGCATCTGATAACGAGGGCAAGGAAATAGTTGATTCTGCCTGATTAAAACAGCTAATTTAGCCTTACACATTTTTATCAGTAATATTTTGATTAGYAATAATTTGTGTATAATTTTATAATGTGAAAATTGTATATTAAATGGAACTGAGCTAGAATCATTGTATTCTATAACTTTTTCAGAAGAGCTGCTCTCAGACATGAAGAAGAGGTATTAAGCAGATGTGAGGCCAAATGGATTTACATCATTTACATCATCTTAATCCAGCAGAAATTTAGCCCTGATTCTTTGATGAACCTTTATCTGTGATATGTGTTATTTTGTATCAAGTTCTCACTCACTCCCCTTTTTGAGATCAGCTGATATGCAGCTTTCATTTGTCTCCCTATTTGAGATTTGCTGTTCACATAAAGCTTGAATTAATTCAAAATCTCAAAGGGAATCTCAGTGGATGAGTTGTGTTTACTGTTTYGCGTCGGTGCTGTGCTTTTGAAAAGTCTGCTAGTAAAAGCTGCCTAGAGGAATGGTGTCTTTGTGAGACAGTCAGAGAGTGATCCAGGTACCTAAATATAGGCATCTCAGGCTATTTTAGACAGTCTCAGAGGTCTTGGTTTACAGCACAGTACAGTGATGATACAGGACTCGAAGGAGATCTGCACCTCTCATGAAAGATAGTTGGAGATCAAGCAGAAAGTCCAAAGGCATCTTAGATGGTGCAAAAATATTGGATTTTAGCAACTAAATCCCACCTATCACATTACAGCAGAAATCRCTAATTAAATTGGTCTGTAAAGGCTTTTACCCTGTACAACTTAGCACTAAAAACAAAAAGAGAATTGTTCAGTGGAAAACAACCACCTTTCAGTCTGTTAATCTTAAAAAACGTGAGCTCATCAACCTGTAAGGCAAGGTGGCTCTCACAGCATTTTCAAGGTGTCCGTGGTTCTGTCACAGTTTAAAATGCAGCCGGCAGTCTCTGTTTCAGACCACTCCATGTTGCAGGCAGCAGACTCTTCTCAGTTACCTTCCTTTCTCTTCTCCCTCTTTCCTSCCCTGTTGTCCCCCTTTTCTCTGGCTGTTAGAAGGATGGCTATTGGTACTGGATCTCTCAGCCCATTCCTCACGTACTCTGGTTCTTGTGAAAGAAAGGGCTTAGCTGGCAGCTCAGGTGAGGAGCCTGCCARAGCGTTGATTGTTCACAGAGAAAGAGTCGCAGCGGTGCCGAGCAGCCGCCAGCCTGGCTCCCTGCAAAGCCATTTCCCCTCTGCAGCTTCTGTGTCTCATGACAGCACGTCAGCAATCAGCCTTATAAATGGAAACTGCATTATTTCGTCTTTGATTTTAATTCTTCTTTCTTTGGTCTTCAGGAGAACTCAGGACCCAGCAAGGCTCCATGGGAGAGTTTCAAAACCACAGGTGACTACCAACACTATACAACGATAAACGTTTTAGACACAGAGGCAAAAGATGCTTTAGAACTCAGACCAGCAGAATGGGAGAAGTGTCTGAACTTGCCTTTAGACGTGCAAGAAGGTGACTTTCAAACAGAAGTTTAACAAAAAGGAACTGAACAAAACAGAAACAAAATAAAAATAATTCATTGCACTGACAATAAAGAGACTTTGGGAATCCTGACAGTCCTGACACTCCTGTCTGAACATTGCAACTCCTTTTTGTCAGGCTCTTCCTGTGCCAAATGTCAGTGGTTTTTTCGTACAGTTTATTCCCACTAGTGCAGCTAGTGGAGAACCAGGTGTACAATTCTTACCATCGTGTGTTGTAAGTACCCGTGGAATGGATTTGTAAGGTAATCTTTATAGATAAACCTCAAGCAACGATTCATGTTGTAACAGCTTCATTTGGTTTAGTTTTCAAAAAACTTCACCATGAAGCACAATGTATATATTTATGCAGTTTTTAAAGTTTATAACAGTCTGTTTGGCCATTACTACACTTTTTACTTTATAATATAAAAGCAAAGTTTTTGTCATTAAATGAATGTCTGTTGAGCTACATTCTTCATTGCTTTAAATGCAATAAAGTAATAATCTCACTTTTATATGAATAATATATTTCACATCTTTATTATTGCAGTTTTCTCTGGAAAGCTCAGAATAGCTTTCTCTGCTGCAGCTGTGTATAAAATATTTAAAATGTTGTATGGTGTAAATAAACCTTTGTCTACATATCAGTTTCCTAGTGCATTTTATTCYATATTGTTTCTCTTAAATTTTAATCTTTATGAAACTTTCTTTAAAAACACACACATTGAATATATATTTACAGTTTTAATAGCATGTTGTATGTAGCTTCTGCAAAGAGCTTCTAAATAATATCAGTAGGCTTCTAGCCATTCTGCATTTTCTTAAATATTCTTTTCTGATAATGTGCTGTATGAATCTGACTTGACAGAATACCATTACAATCATTCTGTTTTATAAGAATTTCTGTCTAGTTGTAGAATGACAAAYAATGGAAAATAAGTTAAGTTTCATGGCACAACACCCAATGAAAATGCTGGCTTAGATTCATTACATCCTGTGCATGGTCTTGTTGCTACATAAGAAAAAAGAAGATCAAGATAAAGAAGTTCTGAAGTATTTTAGATTTAAGAAAAAAAAACAAAACCAAAAAAAACTAATCAAACCCAAAAAAACCTGAGTCTGTTTCACTATAAATCAAGAGCAGAGCATGATTGTTATTGAAAATACAATTAGGAATAAGAAGATTAAATCTCCTTTTCCATGCTTAGAATCAAAACCAGATCTTCAGTAATCTCTCCTCATCTACAACATAGCTGTGGGGGACACAGAGAGAAAGAGATCTCAAATATTCAGATGTCCTCTTTCTAGGAAAAAAGTTTACAAAACTATTTTGGTTCCTGCTGTACAAAATTGAATGTGCTGCAGCCTACTAGGTGGAGAGATCTTAGAGAGGAAGAAAATATGACCACCAATCTGCTTAGGAAGAAAAGAGACAAGAATAGAGCCTTGTCAGTGAGAACTTAACCCAGAGCACTGGTGGAGGAAGATCAGCATCCATCTGTTAAGAGAAGAGTACTTAGGATCAACATTAGGATCAACCTTCAGRAAACTGTTTCGGTTTGACAATTTTTCTTCAGGCCATAAGGTATTTAAGTCACGAAAAAGAGCCTGACTTTGCCTGCTCTGAGTGAGCATCTCATGCTGACTGTAGACTTCTCTATTCTAATGCTTCAATCTTAAATCTAAGATTGGTCTAAGTCTTTAAACAAGCAAGAAATAATTAGTCAGCCTGGTACCAAGTCCGGTAACTGGCTTGGGTGCCTAGAGGTTAGATGATGTAGTACTGTCACCCACAGCAGACAACACAAAATTGGGCAGGATGTTGATCTGCTGCAGGGCAGGAAGGCTCCACTGAGGGATCTGGACAGGCTGGATCCATGGACAGAGGGCAACTGTGTGAGGTTCAACAACCCAGGGCCGGGTCCTGCTCTTGGGTCACAACAACCCCAGGCAGAGYTACAGGCTGGGGACAGAGTGCCTGGAAAGCTGCCGGGTGGAAAAGGATCTGGGAGTGCTGAGTGACAGGGGCTGAACACGAGCCAGGTGTGCCCCGGTGGCCAAGAAGGCCAATGGCATCCTGGCCTGTGTCAGCAACAGTGTGGCCAGCAGGACCAGGGCAGTGATTGTCCCTCTGTACTTGGCACTGATGAGGTCACACCTCAAATCCTGTGTCCTGGTCAGGGCCCCTCAATGTAGGAAGGACATGGAGGGGATCATGTCCAGAGAAGGGCAACAAGGCTGGTGAAGGGTCTGGAGAGTGAGTCCTATAAGGGACAYCTGAGGGAGCTGGGGTGGTTTAGCCTGCAGAAAAGGAGGCTCATGGGAGACCTTATCACTACCTACATCTGCCTGGAAGGAGATTTCAGTCATGTGGGGGTCAGCCTCATCTCCCAGGCAAACAGTGACAGGATGAGAAAGTGGCCTCCCTCACATCAGGAGAGGTTCAGGTTGCATATCTGGAAGAAATTCTTCACAGAAAGGCTGGCTAAGCATTGGAACACTGGCAGCATTGGATGCTGCCTTTGGAAGCAGTGSAGTCCCCATCTCTGGAAGTGCTCAAGCAATGACTGGATGTGRCACTTTGTGCTGTGGTTTAGTTGACAAGGTGGTGCTCAGTCAAGGGGTGGAGTTGATGAYCTTGGAGGTCTTTTCCAATCTTAATGATTTTATCATTCTATACTGTGATACCTCAGTCAAACAGCACTGGCCCCCTTTCAAGAGGCTGGTGCAGAAGGAGGCAGATGGCAAGGCTGGCTCTGCAGCCTACTAACTTTTCAGACCTGATAGTGCACCAAAAACCTCTCACTACATACAACAGAAACTACTTTTTTAAGAGTTTYATTCCATATGATAGCAAGTCTCAGTCAGAGCATGTTTTTAAAAATTTCTAATTTTTGACCCCAAATCAGGAATCTTAGACCCCTGAATCCAGATATAAGCCTTAGCATGCTCCTTGACTGATCTAAACATAACCAAAATCTTGAACACCTTGGTATTTCAATAACTTCAATATGGTAATTATTTGTATAAGCTGTACATCACTAAAGTCCTGCTCAGTGGTGGTCTGGTTACAACTGCAGAAAGCTTGGGGTAGGCTGCAAACTTCCCCAGGAAAGATGATAAATCAGTTTACACTCAATACACTGCTGACCCAATTGTGCAGTTATTAATAACCCTGTGGATTCAGGTTTAACATCAGCCTGAGTGTTTATGTATCACACATAAACAGTCACAGATGTGCTTTCAGTGTGTGAGCAGCAGCATTCAGTGCCTCTTTATTTAGAGTTTGTGCTGCTCTGAGCAGAAAATGCTAGGCATTTTTTAATTCTCTTACRTATTTCATATCTAGAAATTAAAAGCATGCTGAAACCCACTATATTTGCCTACTGGATTGACTGCTTCTAACTATTAAMGCAGTTTGTTTCCCATAAGCACTCATACTTGCAGTTTCTGCTCAATGCCTCTGAAATGATGCATGTCAGACTGAGCCCAGCAGGAGAGTACAAACTCATATGCACTGGCTTCAATGCTGGTAAAGCACTGAGCAGATGTTTGGTATTATATGCAAATGAAAATTAAGTGGGGACTCCCTAAATTATACTAGACACAAATATGACAGGGGGCCCTGCATCTTCCTGTCAGCGAGTGCCACCCAACATGGCCAGGCTGCCCCAGCTGGGCTCCAGCTGCAGCTACAGAAAGGTTCAGGTGTTTGAGGGTGATTGAGGTGTTTGAGGGCTCAGCCAGAGTTTCTGTCACTGGCACTTAGAGGGGACTGAGGCAGCTGAGCCCAGGCCAGAGTTTACCCAGAAGCAACTCAAAATGTGTACTCCCTAGATGTATACACAAAAAAAGCAAAAATCTTTTTTATTAAAGGCTTCATTTACTCAACAGTTTAAATACACATTACCAGTCAAATAAAACCCTATGCAGCTCTGTCTTCTTCTTCTTCCCTGTGTATTCAGGGAAAGATTTTTTTTCCAGCAAGTTAATGCTAAACAAAACGTGGCCTGGACTTTTCAGTGCAGGAAAGCAGGTGCATACTGGAAATGGAGCTGATCACTCCAGAGATCACTCAGACAGCACTTCATGATGTCAGTGATTTCAGATCCAAGGCTGTGTAAAGGGGCTTGGTGTCACTAGCAATATTATTTACTAGGTGGACCTTTGCCAAAGTGATGTTATTTAACCCTGAAACTTGGAGGTAAAATATGAATTAGTCACTATTAAACTTCAGGTCATAATCTTGATTATCTCTTGGCAGTAAGAAGGGAGAAGAGTGTAAGTGATGCTGCAAGGGATGAAGGTAGGATAGAAGTGCTGCCATTCTGATGCACCTTTGGAGTACCACTGGTTTATTATTGGCACATATGTCATGCTAATGACTCTTTCTGATGATGATTTACAGCAAAATACACAAAGAGCTAGAGGTCTTTTCTAGTTAATTAACTACTGAGTCTGGATTTCTTCACAATCAATGAATTGGTGCTCTTAGAACTGTTGTCCTGGCACTCCTCCCTTGAGATCGTCATTAGTTTATGTCATGATAAGACATAAATCATCTAACATTGTTTTACACAGGATTGAACTGTGATATCTCTCTTAAAAACAAACAAAAACCAACAATGAAACAAAACCCATCCAAGCTCCAAGCTGCRTCAGGGGAAATGCTCTCTAATGCTTTGGCTTGTCTGTTTCCCACAGTTGCTAGGCAGTGCCGCTCTTGGAGACCAGATTTAACAAAAGGGCTGCTTCCCACTTGGAAGCAGACATCCATCACAGCATCAGGAATATGCTTTCCACWGGGTTACACAAGGGGATTTGGAAATCTCTGTTGGCAATCAGCTGATGGAGACATGTATTGATAGCAGGCTCTCAGTTCCTCAGGCATTAGCTCGAGGCTGTGCTGCGTTTCTGGATAAGCCACYAGAAGCAGCTTGTATGAGCAAATTTTATTTCCCTCTCTCAAAAAAGTGTCATGGGGCTCACTTGTGCAATCAAGCCCCTTCTCATGTGCTGAGAGAAGAATTCATAAAGGTACCCAGATGAATATGTGCTTGGGGAGCTGGGATTCATTTCTAGCCAGGTCTCAAACAGTGCAATGCTGTAATCTTTTCTACTTGCTTTCCCAGAAACATCTTTCTTTGCAAGGAAACAAAAAGTGGCCTTGCTAAGAAAAATTAAATTACTGATAAGATAGGCATGACTATCACCCCGAGCACTCCCACTGAAGTGTTCTGTTCACTAATTACAATTGTGAGATAAAGAGTYATTAAACTGGTTTTGACAAAATTGCCTTGTAGGCTGCATTGGACCATCCTGTGGCACTGAGGCACATAGTTACTCTAACTATGCTACAGTACTGATCCTCTTGTTTGTTCTTCACTAGTGTCATTTTACACCKCATTGTTTCTTATGAGGAGTAGTTAACTTTAACCAGTCCAACTTCCTCCCTCAACTATACAAGTTASTGTTATTGGCCCCACAGTGATCTCTTTTCTCAGGATTACAAACTCTTGCTCAATTAGCTCCCATGTAGAAGTCCTTCCCTGATTTCTACTACCCCTGTGTTCTTTACAGCTTTTTTAAGTCTGCTAAAGTTCTTGAATGAGTTCAGTAAATCCATAACTCATTAGAGTATTCTGTT